TCCAGGTGTGAGCAGGGATCCAGGTGTGTCCAGGGATCCAGGTGTGAGCAGGGATCCAGGTGTGCAGGGATCCAGGTGTCCATGGATCCAGGTGTGCAGGGATCCAGGTGTGCAGGGAGGGTCCCCCGAGCTCAAGGAACACTCCAAGTCCATGGACGAGAGCCGGCTGGACCGGGGAGGGACACCTGGGCACCAGGTGGGAACAGGTGGGAACAGGGATCCAGGTGTGAACAGGGATCCAGGTGTGAGCAGGGATCCAGGTGTCCATGGATCCAGGTGTGCAGGGATCCAGGTGTGACCAGGTGTCCATGGATCCAGGTGTGTCCATGGATCCAGGTGTGCAGGGATCCAGGTGTGCAGGGATCCAGGTGTGGCCAGGGATCCAGGTGTGACCAGGTGTCCATGGATCCAGGTGTCCATGGATCCAGGTGTGACCATGGATCCAGGTGTCCATGGATCCAGGTGTGAGCAGGGATCCAGGTGTGCAGGGATCCAGGTGTGCAGGGATCCAGGTGTGATCAGGTTTGCACGGATCCAGGTGTCCATGGATCCAGGTGTGCAGGGATCCAGGTGTGACCAGGTGTCCCCATAGAGGGTTCCCAGGTGTCCCCAAGGTGTGTTCCCACATGTCCATGGTGGGTTCCCAGGTGTCCAGGTGTCACCATGGAGGGTTCCCAGGTGTCCCCATGGTGTGTTCTCTCATGTCCATGGTGGGTTCCCAGGTGTCCAGGTGTTACCATGGTGGGATCTGAGGTGTGCCCAGGTGTCCCCAGGTGTGCCCAGGTGTGCCCAGGTGTCACCGTAGAGGGTTCCCAAGTCCCCAGTTGCCCCCAGTCACCCCCAGTCGCCCCCAGTTGCCCCCAGTCACCCCCAGTCGCCCCCAGTTGCCCCCAGGTGCCCGCAGTGTGACGTGTGGCAGGTGAAGGAGTACGAGGAGGAGATCCACTCGCTCCAGGAGCGGCTCCACAGGGACATGGGGGGTTCCCAAGTCCCCAGTTGCCCCCAGTTGCCCCCAGTCGCCCCCAGGTGCCCCCAGGTGCCCCCAGTCGCCCCCAGGTGCCCGCAGTGTGACGTGTGGCAGGTGAAGGAGTACGAGGAGGAGATCCACTCGCTCAAGGAGCGGCTCCACATGTCCAACCGGAAGCTGGAGGAGTACGAGCGGCGCCTGGTGACGCAGGAGGAGCAGACGAGCCGCATCCTGCTCCAGTACCAGCACCGGCTCGAGCAGAGCGAGAAGCGCCTGCGGCAGCAGCAGCAGGAGAAGGACTCCCAGATCAAGAGCATCATCGGCAGGTGAGGGAGGGACACGTGGGGACACGGGGACGGGCAGGGACAGGGGGATGGACGGGGACATTGGGGGGATTTGGGGGGATTTGGGGACATTGGGGGGACATTGGGGACATTGGGGGGACATTGGGGGACATTGGGGATGGACATGGACATGGGGACATTGGGGACACGGTGACTCCCAGATCAAGAGCATCATCGGCAGGTGAGGGAGGGACACGTGGGGACACGGGGACGGGCAGGGACAGGGGGATGGACGGGGATTTGGGGGGATTTGGGGGGATTTGGGGACACGGTGACTCCCAGATCAAGAGCATCATCGGCAGGTGAGGGAGGGACACGTGGGGACACGGGGACGGGCAGGGACAGGGGGATGGACGGGGATTTGGGGGGATTTGGGGGGATTTGGGGACACGGTGACTCCCAGATCAAGAGCATCATCGGCAGGTGAGGGAGGGACACGTGGGGACACGGGGACGGGCAGGGACAGGGGATGGACGGGGATTTG